TCCCTTTCCGGTCGGCTCATGGGTCCCTACCGATGGTCCCTACTACGGTTGGGCATCGTTTGATTTTGAACGATTCTGATTCCAATTCATCGTCTCGATTCCGGTTCCTATCGATTCCCGATTCCGATTCTTTCAAGCCATGACATGTTTTACATGAGCCAGCTAACCACAGGTCCTACTTGATGAAATAATCTTAACTTCAACATGAATTTTATTCTATGAACAACAACATCACCTTCATTTAGACAAAAACACGTTTTGGAGAAAAAAGAAAAAGACTTGCAGCACAACCAGTGTGTTTGTTCCTGACCACAACCAAAGTCTGGAAGAAGCCTCTGGGATGAGAGGCTAAAAGTCTCCAACACATCCAGAAACGTCCAGCTGTTTTCAGCTAAAGCTCTCAGGATGATCATGTCCAGGATGACTGAGAACTACACCTCCATGCTGCAGCAGCGTTCAGTCAGAACAGGAAGTGAAACTTAAATGTCGCTGGCTGCGTCTGACTGCTGACGCTCCGTGTGTGTTTTTATTTCTGCACTGAGACAAACTCACCTCACACCATCCAGTTTGTTCTTTAAAGCTTCTATTAAATCCACCGTGTTGACGTATTTAACAAGTTTCCTCTACGCTGCAGGAGTTAAAGTTTACATTACGGAGTAAAAGTTCGGTAGACACGTTTGTTTATATTTGGCCGCTGTGCGCCGGGTGGGGGGGGGACTCGTGCTGCACACAGACAGCTGGTGTGATCAGCTCTGAAAAGCATTGATCACAATTTGCAGATCACGTTTATTTTTCACGGAGATCGGCCGCGGATTCCTCTTCCGTCTGCATTCTAGGAATCGAAATAAAAACTTTGAACGATTCCGTGAAAAGCTAACAGTTGGAACCGATTTCAATCGATGCTCGATGCCCAATCCTACAGGAATGAATTAATGAATGCAAGTCAATGGGGCTAAAAAGAGCTATTTTCTAATTCAGTTTGCTTTAGGCCCTGTATCGCACATATGTTGTACTTCTATTTGAATGAAAAGTAATGACGTGTGTTTGGACCACGCCAGTCACGTACTTAGAGATTTATCAGCCTGTGAAAGTTCGTTATTAGCATGACTACAAATCAGCTGTCGGCATGTCTCAAATATGACAATCTCCTCTCCCCTAGCATAGCAGCTATTTACCTCATGGCCAGATTTATGGTGGTTCTTTCCTCCTGAAAGAAATATTTGAAATTTGCTGAACTTACAGTCATTTTCCCTCTGTTTTTGTCTTTGTCTGGTTTGATGACCTCAATTTGGTGATGCTAATTTGTAGTTCTGGACATATTTTCACTCAAAACCTAAAATAAATGTTGCCCCTGTTTGAAAACAAGCGCTTTCTTGGCATTGAAATATATCTTTAAAATTCATGGACGTCAGATGTGAAATCCATGGCACATAACAAGCCCCATTGACTTGCATTCATTTTTTTGTTCTGCCGGGGACCATGGTCCGGATGTAGAAGGGCATGACTTAGGCTCCCTATTCACAGAGCTCAGCTGTGGGGCAGGATCTACAGTTGTCTTTTAAACTGTCTCCGCATGCAACAGACAACGTGACATACTCACCACTATGGATGTCAGTCAACGGGGTAGTCCGTTGAAGAAGTCGCAAATTTATCCTTTATCTAAATAAACTTAGGTACCTGTACCTGCTCTTGACTATAGGGCTTCCACACTAGCGCCAGCGCTACCTTACCTAGATTGGGTAGGAAGTGTTCACATACGCATAGCCTGGAATTTATCTGCGAGCGCCCGGTCGTTTTTGCTTCGGGTTGAACTGGTCCAACACACCCTCTGCAGACTGATTGGCTAGCTCGAATTCATGCCTACCATTAGGGGGAGCCTCCGATTAGCGGATAGAATCAGCCAGCCGATACTGTGAAGTACATAACGCTTCTAATTGAAGATGTCTATTTCTGTGTCTCTCTCTGAGGAGCACACACACACACACACAATTACACAAACAGCACTGCCACGCTTGAGCTGTGCCAGGACAGACACAGCAGAGCAGGAGTGTCCAAAAGCAACACAGCTCACGGCCGCCTTTGTTTTCTTTAAGGAAGCCACAACAGACTTCTCTGCACGTCTTTTGCCCCGCCCACATGTTCTACGATGCAATCATGACATCACTGATGTCACCAATTTTTCACGCCAATTTTGGAGACCTCCCATATGCTCAGTCACATCCACATTCCTAAGGATGTGTGGAAGGATGTGTGTAATCAACCCAACCAGGCTGGGGCGGGCTGGGGCTAACTGGGCAGAGTGGAGCCGGCCCTACTGTGGAAGGGGCTAAAGAAAAGCTGAAATAGTCCAAAGTTGATGCCAAAGTCGTTTAAAATGAGCCGTCCCCATCTCAGTTTTGCTTGGTCGCAATTACCTCCCACCCACCAAACCAATAAAGCGCTGTGATTAGCCCACCAAACCAATAGAGTGCTGTGATTAGCCCACCAAACCAATAGAGTGCTGTGATTGGCACGCCACTAGCCTGGTCAGGGCTGCAGAGATTCCAGTGACTAGACCGACATGCAGAGCAACAATACATTTTGCTTCTGTCCATCTAGATTTCTAGGCTACTTCCAAGCATCAACTCTAATAACTTTTTACAGGCTCCTGCAACAGCTCTTCTCAGCTTTTGTGGCAGCACGGTGTGTCCATGATTTTTTCATTTGACTGATCAAATAGATTTGATTTATCATAAAAAGTTTTCAACATTTTTATACAAGTCCACATTGACTTTAGAGATTATTGCAATGTTAGTCTCATAAAAAGTTGTATTATTTTATTATTAAACAGCACAACTCTGCAACCTGCTGGTGTAAACTGGCTACTACAGTCTAACTGGTTTCCTAACCGAATGAGTCATTGTGTTGAATGATCGGGATTATGGTTTATATTCCTCCAATTCAAATAGCTCTAGTATATTGAAAATAAATGTGATCGTTTCATTTATTGCATCAGTTGTTCAGCGTAAATAAAGTCTGCGCTGAACCGAATTAGTCTTGCAGATCTTTGATGCTGCACAGCTAACAGATGAAAATTGTTCCCTTTGGTCTGCAAGATTTCATCCTGGTGATAAAAAGTCACTTGAGGTTGGTGTCATCAGGAAGCAGATCCAAAGCACACGATATTAAAGCCATTAATACCACCTCTGTCAGGATTATTTACCGCTCAATCAAAGCTGAAGCAGAATGGATCCATATTCAATAACCTGCATAGCTCTGGAAACAATTTCCCGTCAGAAAACTCTTCTCTCATGCACATCAAGATGCTTCATTATTCTTACTGAAAAAAAAAAATCATCGTAATTCTGCTGAAAACCATCTAAAGTTCCTGTGAGGAAAGTTCTGGGCAGTTTGTGATTACAGCAGCCAGAAATAAGAGCTTATCAACAACCTCTCTGCTTTTATCGCCTCTCTTAGGAGCAGCGTCACCTGAAAGACCCCAATAAACGGGTTTATTATCCTCCAATCAAAACAGTCACCGAGCCTCCCCAGCATATAGCTCCAGCAGCTGGAGGGTTCAGAGTGGGAGCCATCGCCCTCGAGCCTTTTCACCAGTCACCAGAGGCTGCAGCAGAGTGCCACGGTGCATCTGTAAGGGGTACAGACGTGGACACAGCTCAAGAGTCCTGAGATTCCACTTAAGAGTCAGACCCAATCAGCTTCCTCTGTAGAAAACGTTTCAGTGCATGAGGTAATAGTTTCGCATGAGCTGATCTACAAAGCAGTTTGCTTTGCTCCTGTTTCCTTTTTATCAAGACATGAGTTTCCATAAGTCATAATCCGCCCTGCTCGGGTCCAGCTCCTCACTGGTCTGGTTAGATTTATAGCTGCAGATTTTTTACAGATTAGAAATCATATCCCACGAACTATTAAGGACTTTTGAAATAAAATCCATAGAGGCAGTAAAAGAAAATACCTATCATGATCACGTTTGGCCAATTTTCAGCATGAAGCGGTGAATGAATGATGTGAAACTCTAAACTCCTTGGTCCTTAAATGCACCAAATAGCCTAGCAGCAAAACTATTATCTGACATTCTCCCTGCTCTATGGACTCATGCACTAATCAATCAGTCAATCAATCAGCCAATCTCTCATGTGGTGGAGGTTTGCATCTACAATAATCGGGATTAAAAATATGTATTTTATGAATTACTTGATAAATTGTCAGACTTGGTATCAGCAGGTCAGACATGTATAGGAATCAGAAACCAGTATCAGCTCTCACACCCAGAATCAGCGTCTCATAAAACATTTCAGTTATAAAGATCCACGCGCCTCTGTTCAGTTTTACATCCAACTAGCTCAAACAAATGGTTCAAACCCGCCGGATCTGACTTTTCCAGACTTCTTGATTTCCATGAACGCTCTCTCATGGTGTTACACCATTCTATGAAGGTTTTGGTGAGGTAACACCTCTGTGTGTGTGTGTGTGTGTGTGTGTGTGTGGGGGGGGGGGGGGGGGGGGGGGGGGGGGGGGGGGTGTTACTTGGTGAATTTTAGATAAAAAATAAACTGAAGTAACTCTAGAGAAACGCGGTCTGGTCTATGCTGAACCAGTCCAAACTTTTTGACTGCTTGTGCGTAAATTTTCCACATTTGACCAACTTTTACAGCCTAATTAATAAATCCATGCCTGCTTGTGAATCTTTAACGTTCCCAAACAGGTTGAACTTCTAAATGTTGAAGCAAAAACGTGCAAACTCTAAATGCGTCTGGATGAGAGTAAAAATCTAATCGGACTGGAATAAATCTCGTTTCTGTTCTAGAAGCAGCGGATCACAAAAACTTCCAGCTCCGATGAGTCCGCGAGCGCGCACAGACCGACACTTGTCTGGTAACCTGTCCGGTTCCACCTGTGCCATCGTGAAACACAGCAGCTGACCCTCGGCGGACTGCAGCGTCCCGGGGATACCGGGAGTCCACGGACCGATGGACCTACTGGAGAAAACTTCCGCTCACCTGTACAGAGTGAATGAAAAATCCTCGCCGAGCGTCTAAGCCCACATCCAGCTGCATCCCCGGAGCCCCAGCGACTGATCAGCACACAACGGGATCCGAGTCGCCTTCTGCGGCCGCTGCAGCTCACAGCCTCCGATGTATGGAGGAGGGAGGAGGGGGGTGAGGAAGGGGGGTTCCCTCATCAACCACAGGGGGACAGACACGCGCGTGCACGCAGATGTTCATGCTATAAAAAATCTTATTCACTTTTCTCTGCTGCTTTGAAACGATTCTGGATGAATTAGAAACAAACTCCAACATAAATATAATTAAATATTAAGAAAGCGGTTAGAACTCCGGATGCATTCTCACCACAGATTAATCTCTAAAATCCAACTCATTAGTTCATGAATTAGAACTAATTAACCTTCAGTGCCTTCATTTGAACTCCCTTTCATTAAAAATATTAATAAACACAATATTAATTAATAATAGATGACATCAAACATGTATCTATTAAAACTCCCTCATGCAGATGCTTGTTATTCTATACCAAATAACATTTAAAGCTGCAATAGCAAAGTTGAAAAACAAAGTAGCCTAAACATTTTTAATTCCTCTTAACAACAATCTAACATAGTATAGCTATAAATATATTGTGCAGATAATAAAAATAAAATAAAAAATAAAGTAGTTCTCTCCATTTGTCTAAAAACCTTTGCCAGTGACACATTTCAGACCAAAATCAACTGTTGGACCATCTGGTTGTCATTGAACCACCCTACAGTGACTTCCCTGCTCCTCCATCGTAACACTCTCGTGTCTTTAGCAACAGAACACCACTGGTGAGAGAGGTTCTCCGCTCAGTAATATCAGAGAAGGAGAACCAGCCAGCTGCTACCGCTTCAACGTTAGTACTAAATACCAGAGTCCCAAAAAGAAAAACACCATTGATAGTTGCCCCACTTGTGTAGTGCCTTTCAGAGGACTCCTAAGTGCTTTACACTACAGTTTATCATTCACCCATTCACACTGATGGTGATGAGCTACAATGGAGTTGGACTGGGAGGCAGAAATGCCTTCAACGAATAATGGCAGGTCGGATGACACAAACAGGAGCAACGTAAACATGGTGAAAACACCACAGTGATCAGACAAAGGACAAGTGCAAAACAGGAGGTATAAATACACAGTGGTGGGTTAACAAGGGGCAGGTGAGTTCAATAAACAGACCAAGAGTCAGAGGGGGTGGAGCGCAGCAGGCAATGTGGGTTAAGTGTCTTGCCCAAGGACACAACAGCAGCGTTCTCTTCCAGGATCGACCCTACAACCCTCCGATTACTGGACAACCCCGCTCGACCTCCTGAGCTACTGCAGCCCACAAAGTCATGGACAACAAAAGACATTTGGATGTAGAAAATGACGACTGGTGTTTAGCACTGTCTTGTTCCCCTCTAGCAACACGGGTTCCTGGTTCTGGCTGAAACGTCTCAGGGAAGATTCTGAGGGGAGGCGTGGGTGTTTCGTGACCGTGTTTGTGTTAAACCTAGTTTAGCGCCCCGTTCTTTCGTTCTATCTGTGACACTTTTGGAAGCCAGCCTAACAACCAATATTTTTCCACAAGACTGGGACCATGATGTTGTGTTAAAAATGTTTACGTGAGGAAAAACGTTAAACTGTGTTGCTTCCGGCCGCTCCGACTTCCCAGCTGGGCTGATCACAGCTGATTACATGACGTCTACCATCTATCAGCTGGAAGCTCTAACACAGAAAACAACAAAATTAAATATTCTGACATTTATTCTTCATATTGAACAAAAAAACATTAGAAATAAATGACTTCCTTATTTGTTTCTTACATAACCCAGCCCCTGACTGGTTAGGAGGGAGGACTAAACAATTACAAACATTCTAATCCACCACATCCATCTTGTTGGTTTCTTCTTTATCTTTGTGGGATCTTCCCGACTCAAACTCAGCTGTCACATTTTTGCCTCCGAGTGTTTCCTCATCAGCTATCTCTTAAATTACAGAGTTTGCAGAGTTAATGCACAGGTGGCATCCAAGTTTAAAGCAATTTCTTCAAAAATATATCAACCAGGTGCTTAACAACATCATCTGGACTCTTCGTTTACTAGATGCTCTTCTTTAGCTGATTGAGTGACACACAGACAGTTAAGTTTCGCTTTTAAATGGTAAATGCTGATATAGCATCTTTTGGAGTCCTTGAACCCCCCAAGACGCTTTACAACACAAGCAGTCATTCATCCATTCACACACACATTCACACGCTGGTGAGGATTAGCTGCGATGTAGCCACAGCTGCCCTGGGGGGCGCTGACAGGGGGGAGGCTGCCGAGCGCTGGCGGACCCTCCAACCAGAACCAGCAGGCAAGGTGGGTTAGGTGTCTTGCCCAAGGACACAAAAACAGTGACAGACGGAGTGGGACTCGAACCTGCAGCCTTCCGACTACGGTGCGAGCACTTAACTCCTGTGCCATCGTCACCCCAAATAATTGATTGGCATTACTCTTGCTCAAGGACAAAATACATCTCTGTTACTTTGGGAATTGCCAGTTTCTGCAGATCATCTCTTCTGCTGATCCTCTAACACGTTTTTTGGCTTCATAGTGACGATCTGTCCTTTCATTCTGTCTGTGCCTCTTCTGGAAGGCACTGTAAAAATCATTTTGCGACCTGACTGAGACCATGCTGTTGTCTAAAAAAACCATTTAATTGAGTAGAAAAACAAACAAGGTAATGCACTGATCACAGCTGATTACATTACGTCTACCAGAAAACAACACAGTTACAAAATAAAATATCCTGACATATTTATCTTTTATAATATTTATCCAGCTTGACAAAAATACAACAGAAATAAATTAAATTCTTAACTGGCTCTTACAGCTTGTTCTGTATATTCGTTATAGCAGCTTTAAAGCCATAGAAAGAAAACTGTCACGTCTCACTGCTCTGCGAAACCATTTATGGTGTGTTAAAGGTGCAGTATGTAAGAATATAGTGAGAATTTTACAGTGAGAAAATCCCAAATGAGTGTAATGTTTCGGTCATTAAGGAAGGAAGGTTGTACTGAAACATATTTCATAACTGGCTGCTGGATCGTCAGTTTTTCTCCTTTCAAAATAAAAAAAGGAGGGACGTAACTCCTGTTTACCATCAGTGAGTGTGGGGTTGCCGTGTCTCCTGCGAGCTAATACTGCAGCACCAACAATTGTGTTTTAACGACAGCCGGCAAAAAGCTCCAGAGGTGTATAAAGTGGTTACAGTAACCACATTTTACCACAGGGTGTCATTTTTACTTCATTTCTACATAGTGCACCTTTAAAGTCTGCAAACAAAAAATGTTCATAACCAGCATTTTCCTATATGGCTAAAATCCACATCTTTATAAGACTAATTAACAAAGACTAATTATTACTATTATTTTATAACATGGATGTAATTTTCACTTTAGAAGTGGGGGGGACGGGGGGATCTTTACAGTATGTTCTAATGGGAAACAGGCTTCAACACAAATGGTTGTTTTCTGCTTGGTCCTAGAGCTCAACCAGTGTCAGTTTAATATAGCGTAATATTGTTTTTGGATGGTAAAAAGTGCAGGGGTCAAAACTTGACTTTGGAAAAAGTGGGGGGGACATGTCCCCCCCCCCCCCCCCCCCCCCCAAAATTACGTCCATGTTTTATAATGACACCCGCCCCAAATCCCCCAAAACAATTTAAAGTAAAATCACAAGTGTGTGTACTCTACAGCCATTAAATAAGTCCTGACTAAAGCAAAACTCAACACACGTTGTAAGGACATTTTTTTTTATTTTATTTTTTTTGCTGTAACAATGTTTCCTGGGATTAAATCCTATACCACTGGAAATTGGAAATAAAGGAATAGGACATTTTAACAGTTTATTTGTTTTAATGGACCAGAGCCTCAGCAGCATGTGGAGGAGTGATGCACAGCCTCGATTACAAACATATATACGTAGACTCCCCGTGGACTCGTGCTGCCTGTTGGAGCTGCCGTAGTGACCGGCTGCCATCTTAGGTGGACCTCCATAATAGATCATAGATGTGGTTGTGCTGGTCTCTCTCAGGACTGCAGGAAGACCATGACACCTCTTCTGTAGAGCAAGCATCATCATTGTACTTCAGTCCCAGACTGTGGGTATCTGGGATCAGTGTCGTCTTTTCTCTCTACATTGAGATTTTCCTCAATGACAATGGGTCTTGTTTTTCCATTCAGGGTGACGTAGAGTTTCCCACCATCACCTTTTTCTCTGTAGACCAGCATAGCAATCCAGCTGTGAGACCAGTGTTATCATGACTGTTGAACCATTGAAATAGTTTAAATGAACTAAATTAAGACACTGCCATAGATATCCCATAAAGTAGAAGATGTGGTGTTCCACAGACAGGTCTAATCTGATTTCTGTTTTTTTCTGTCATGTTTCAGCTGAAGACAAACTCCAGGCTCATGGATGGAGTGATCTTTTCATCCCTACAGAGCAATTTGACTCACAGCCAGCAGTAATACTTAAACATTAAAAACCACTCATTCCTTGGTTAATTGTATTTATAGATCCTGTAGGGATTCAGGTATCCATTTTTGTAGAAAATGTATTTTGAATCACTTTGTGAAGCTTTGGCATTGAGTAGAAAGAGATGAGCTGTATGTGCTCTGATGAGATTCTCTACTCCAGTGTTTCAACTGGGTTTGACGTAACAGTAACAGTAGTTCCCTGTAAAACACTTTAGTTCTGACATATTGAATCCTTTACCAGGCGACGGAGCATATTTGATCATTAGGAGTGAGTCTTGATTCCAGATGGTTATTTTCTTATAGGAAAAATACAGACTGGTCTGA